GTCTTCTGTGCCCACTTCAGCTGGATGGCAAGCACTCTCCAAGTCAGATTTATCATGGAAAATGAAACGTTCGGCTGCTTGACTTGGAAAGAAAACCACAGAAAGGAGAAATAAGGAAATATTTCAGCCAAATATACCCCAAGACTCGTTCTGTAACTGGAAACAACCTTTCAGAGTTTTCTTCCAGGCCATACACCAAGTTACGCGTTGAGTTTGGACAATGATGCCCACATTTCTGGCTGGGTGTGGGCGCTGGGCCCCGCTGCACCGGCACTGCTGGCAGCTGTGGTGTGGGCACACCGGCACCCACTCCTTCCCCAGGCCCCGCGGGCAGCAGCCGGGCAGGGATGCCCGGGGGATGCCCCCGAGAAAGGGGAGGCCGCGGGCACCGGGGGGATGAACCTCGGCGGCGCAGCGAGCCCGAGGCAGGGCCGGTGGCTGCGGGCGGGCTGGTGCCCGGCCCGGCTGCGGGACATCGCCCTCCTCCCGCACAACCGGCGCGGCCCGGGCCCCGGCCCTGCTACGGGGAACGGCCGCCCCGGCCCCTCCCGGCGGAAGCGGCGGTTGCCGGGCAGCGCGGCGGGGCCGGGCCGGGCCCTGGGCTCCCCGCGGGCGGATCCAGGCCAGGTCCAGGCCGCAGCCGGGAGAGCGTCTCTGCGGCCTCCCGCGGTGAGTCCCTGCCGGGTGCCCGCCGCGGGGGAGAGGCCGAGGGCTGCGGGGGAGAGGCCGGGAGGTGGCGGAGCAGCGGCCGGGTGCTGCCGTGCCCCTGCCCAGGCTCTGGGGAGGGGTGGCTGCGCCCACCGGGGCGAAGCCTTGGGGCTCCTGCCTCGGTGTATGTCTCCCCAGACACCCGGGGAGCCAGAGGAGCCGAGAAGGGTTTTCTAAGGACACAGAATCACGGAATGGTATGGGATTGGAAGGGACCTCTGGAGATCATCTAGTGCAGCCCCCGACCAAAGTGTGTGTCAGTGGGGTCCTGGGGCACAGGCCCCAGAATGGGGTTTGTGTTGATTCCTCATGACAGCCCAGCCCAGGGAGGCTGGAGACAGTGATGTGAGCTCCAGTCTCCTGCAAAGTCAGCACGTGTCTCGTCCTTGCCTCGGAGAGGAGTCCCTGGCGGTGGAGACTCATGTTGTCTTTCCCTGCTCTCCTGGGAGGGCTTGGCTGCAGCTCTGCAATACCCTCACCAGCCTCTGCCCACCCTCCAGTGCCCAGCACGGAGCTCGGTCACCTCCTTCCTGCTGGAGGCTGCTGCCCCAGGGCACACATTTGTCCCCTTGGGCAGGCTGGACAACCTGGCTGTTGGTGGATACATGCCCAGCTCCTGGAGAATGTCCCACGTGTGAATGCCAGTACCATGCTTGGCCCACACCGGTCCCTCTTTGTTTTCAGAGGGAAAAAAGGAAAATGGGTCTTAGAAAATGGTGAGGAAGAGCTGGTGGTACCTGAGGGAACCTGCACAGGGAATAGTATCAAAATAAGAATCATAGAATGGTTAGAGTTGGAAGGCACCTGCAAGCCCCCCCAGTCCCTCCCTCTGCCCTGGGCAGTGACCCCCCCCACCACACCAGGTTGCTCCAACCTGCCCTTGAACCCCTCCAGGGATGGAGCAGCCACAGCTTCTCTGGCCAACCTGGGCCAGGCTCTCACCACCCTCAGAGTGAAAATTTTCTTCCTGAGATCTAATCTAAATCTACCCTCCTCCAGTTTGCAGCCATTACCCCTCCTATCACTACACGCCCTTGTAAAAATTCCTTCTCCAGCTTTCTGGTAGGCCCCCTTCACATACGGGAAAGCTGCTCTAAGGTCTCCCTAGAGCCTTCTCTTCTCCAGGCTGAAACCCCCCAACTCTCTCAGCCCCCCCTCCCAGCAGAGCGGCTCCAGCCCTCCCAGCATCTCCATGGCCTCCTCTGGCCCCTGGCCTCAGAGCTGGAGGCAGCACTGCAGGGTGGTTTCCCCAGAGCCAAGTACATTATCTTATATAGTATCAAATTATTAATCTCTGCCATTGGAGCCTGCAAGGGGAAAACATAGGCACAGGATAACATCACTGGGTAGGTTCACAGCACCTCATTTCCCCAGTTCTACAGGAGGCATGGCCCCAGATCCCTGTGTAGCCCTGAAGCACAGAAGTTACCCTGGTTCTACTTTTCAGCTAAAACTACCAAGGGAGGAGGCAAACAGCCAAGAGCAGCCGCACAGAGAGTAGCCCTTTGATTTGCTGCAAATGACTCGCTTTGCTTATCACAGCGTAGGGATTCCCCCCCCTATTTTTGCAGAGGGTGGCTCATACAGGCATGAAGCTGGTCTTGCATCAGCTCTGTCCCTGGCCAGGGACACAGGCAGAGAGGAAATGTGACCTGTGAGGAAGAGGGAGTGCTTCAAAGTCAGACGCAGCAAATGCCAGGCTGTGAAAAGCACCTGCCAAAGCCTTGTCCGTTCCCATGCGTTGTAGTTTCCTTAACTACCATGCCAAAAACAAGCTGTGAGAGGAAGCCGTGGTTCATACAAGCTCTAAAAGATCTCAGTTTACTTGGGGGCATAAGTGGCATTTTTACCACCTGGTAAGCTGGGGGCAAAGGGCACAAAGAATCGAATTAATGGTTCTTTAACTTACAGGGACACGCTGGGAGAGGTGGGGCTGGTGCCTGCATGGCTTGAGTCCTAGACCTGGACTAAGCTGTGGTCCTGGTGGGGGGAAGCAAGCGGCCAGCCGGGCTGAGACTGGGTGAGTAGGCAATGCTGAAGCTGTTGGGTTACTCTGAGAACTGCCCTGTGCCTCTGTTGTCCCCGTGCTGCTTTCAAGTGAGCAGGGACCAGCCCTGTGGCTGGGAGCAGTGTCGCTGCTTCTCTAGCGAGTCCTGCAACCTGGCAGGGAGTTAAGAAGAGAGAGGAGTTGCACACACACATATATGTGTTTACCCGGACTCAGCTGGGCTGCATTTGCGGAGTTGCCTGCATCTCATAGCCTGAGAATGCTCTAAATAGTGTCTTTTTGGTAACAACAGGTCGGATAGTGTATTCTTGACATTTAGGTTTCTAACAGGGTGATAGGGAAGATGCTTTCCTGGGTGCAAATTAGTCCAGGTGGCTGAGCCAGCCATCGGGTCACTGGCTGGCCTTGCTCCCTCTTCCTCCCTCCTCTGTCTTCATAAGCACACACTCCTGCTGCATTTCCCTTGTGCTTGTTCCAGTGCTTCTCCGATTCCCCCGTGGAGGTAACAGCCAGGTTACTTTTGGACAGAATTGGCAGAAAACCAATCCAGCAAAAGAAGTGACTTGTTCTGTGCAGGGGTAGTGAGTTGAGTCGGCTCAGCACAGGAGGGTCTGCGCTGCAGAGCTGTCGCAGGAGGGATGGGAATGGCTGCAGAGAAGGTCCACATGCACCCTTGGCAGAAGTGAGCCAGGAGGTTCTCTCACTTGTGTCCCCCAAAGACGCTCATGGTCAGCAGGAGTAGAGCAGCAGAGCAGCCTGTACTGATCATTTGTGCGTGAGGCTTGGCTGCTTCTGAGGCTGGTGCTGGGGGCTGGCGTCCCACGTCGCTGAGTTTGCTGGAGGTGCCTAGATAGGCAAGATGCTTACCATTGTAATATGATTGTCTCATCTTGCAAGATCCCAATCCAGAGGTGATGTGACTTGCAAATCAGGGAGTGGGTGTCATTTGCAAATTCCCTGCAGCAGGGCAGGCTGCTGTTGGGATGTGAAAGGTATAAAATGAGCCTTCCACCCCCTGCCTCCCATCAACTTGCCTTTCCTCCTTCAGTCCCCCACACTAATTGTCTGCTCTGTCACAGGTCTTGATTTCAGCCTGTCATTTTGCTTGTAAATTACTGGCTTTGAATGCAAGTTCAGATCAAGATCGGATGTGAATTTCAAGGCCAGTAGCTGTTCTGGAGCCATCTCATGGTGAACGTTTTTTTTTTTTTTTTTCCAGAATAAGAGAGCCTGTTCTGGCTTAGTTGGATCCATTATCAAGGAGATTAAATAATACCAAGACAGTGTCCTTTTATCTCAGGCTGAGAGGCTGTGTCTGCTCTTCAGAAATAGCTTCTCCAGAGCAGCTGGGTACAGGCTGTACATGCATGCTGCTGTGCAATAGTCAGCATTGCTTACATTGACTCTGCAGTTGTGTCTGGGAGATGAATAACAGCTTTTTGCTAATGGGTCTCATGTCAACAGGGGTGATTTAGCAAGGAAGACTGCAGTGCATTAGCTGCTATGACTCAGACTCACTCAGCCTTGTACTGATCGTTTATTGGTTTATAAATTAAACTGCAGATGCCGTGTCCCGTCAGTGCTGGCATGCTGAGGATCCTGAAAGGGGCTCTTCCCGTAGAGTTGGCTCAGATATCTTGAAATTGCTGCCTCGGGAGTCAGGGCATGCAGGTTATAGCCCCAGCTCTTACGGCGATGACACCAGCCAGGCTGCCCTGGCGCCTGTAGAACCACGGCGTGACTCTGATGAGGTGTCGATGCTCTTGTGGCATCTATCAAAGGCTCATCAGTCTGTGCCTGTTGGTGCGACATCCTGCAGCCTCATTTTTGGAGTGGGGAGCAAGTCCCTCAAGTTTCTTGTGGGCAATAAAATACTGTCCATGAGATCCAAGGGCTGGAGCCTGTCTGCTGGGAGGGGGCACTGAGAGACTGGGGGGGTTCAGCCTGGAGAAGAGAAGTCTCCGGGGAGACCTTCCAGCCCCTTCCAGTCCCTCAAGGGGCTCCAGGAAAGCTGGGGAGGGACTCTGGATCAGGGAGGGGAGCCCTAGGAGGAGGGGGAAGGGTTTGACCCTGAAAGAGGGGAGATGGAGCTGAGATGTGGGGAAGAACTTGTTTGGTGGGAGGGTGGTGAGAGCCTGGCCCAGGTTGGCCAGAGAAGCTGTGGCTGCCCCATCCCTGGAGGGGTTCAAGGGCAGGTTGGAGGGGGCTTGGAGCAACCTGGTGTGGTGGGAGGTGTCCCTGCCCAGGGCAGGGGGTGGCACTGGGGGGGCTTTAAGATCCCTTCCAACGTAGACCATTCTATGATTCTGTGATCATGGTGAGCACAAGAGGAAATAGATGCTGACTGCTCCTGTGCTGGAAGGATCTGTGCTCCTCCTGTGCAGGGAAGGAGAGAGGCAGCAGGAGCCAGTGAGGGCTAGGGGTATGTGTGATTTGTGGATCTGTTCTTGTGCATGTTGATCTGCATCAAAAAGTTATTTAGAAATGAAATAGATGTTTTTCTAAACAGGTAACTCCCCATTGTCCCAGGGAGCTGAGATGCGCTGGGCTGGTTTTGTCTCAGGGCTCTTCCACAGAAATTCAACGTCTGCCCTTACAAGATCCTGGAGTGAAGTGTTTTTTCTTGGGTCCTTCTGAGGTTCAGCCCCAGCCTGCTCAAGGGTGGCGATGACACTGGCCTGTCTCTCATGGAGGATACAGCAGGGGGTTTATCTGTGTGGGGCTGGGGCTTCAGCTTGCTTTGGGTAGGTTGTGTTTGAACCCCAGGAGCTATTTAGAAAGTCAGAGGTGCAAGATAATTGAAATCTAAGGCTAAAATATGTCAGATGATGTCCAGCTACCTTGTGTTCCCCATTCACTCAAGGCATACAGGGCGGTCACAGCAGCTCAGCTCCTGCTTGCATGCCTGCAGTAAATGTTCTGTATGGGAGAGCGAAGCAGGGAAGGATTTTCTGTGCTGAAGATACTGGTATTACAGCAACCGCAGACCTTTCAGGTTCAACGCTGGTAAAAACGCTGATTAATCCCACAATAGGGACAGTGCTGCTGGATCCTCACCTGCCTGGAGCCCAGTTTGGGGTGATTTCCTACCTGCAAGTCATCTGTATAGCTGGGTGTGAGCTCTCTAATGAAGGTCAGCAGTTCGTATATATATATATATATATATGAAATGTAGCTTTTCAGTGGCTCAGTGAGCTCTGTTCATGTCTCTTCTCAGTGGTAGCTGGTTTCTGTGGCAGAGGCAGAGCAACGGCAGGATGTGTGAAGGGCCATCCAGGATTTCTGGACCCATTCCTCCAGACCCTACGCTCTTTCCAAACTATTACAAACGCCCCTTCTCAGGTGAGTCCTTGGTGCTCGTTACGGATGGGTGGGTTTGTACTTTGGCATGACACAGCTTGCTCATTTGATGTCCTTGTTCTTTGGCATCCTCAACAGTCTACTCTCACACTGGTGCAGGTGCTTCTGCTGCCTCACAGATGGTGATCCTAAAGGTGTACAGCTGGTTGAAAGATGGGAAAGTGTAAGGTAGAGGTGGAGAGGGTTTTTCTAGGCTGTGGGTGAAGGAAACCACAAGGTGAGATTGTTCCATGATAATCTCCTTCTCTGTCTTTCTTTGTAGCTCGAGGGAGGCTGGAAGGGAACGCTGGGAAGCTGGATTTTACCTCTGGCTCCCTGGACCCAGTTCCCAACCCATACCCTGCTTTGGGCAGCGCTCACCGGGCCCAGCCAGCCCCTCGCATTCGCCCCAGTGGAAAGGACTTCTTGGAGAAGGGACAGAAGGGGACGCTTGGTCTCTTACTGCAGCTTGAAGGGCTTTCCCTTGGTGAGGGGCTGCCAGTCAAGAGTAAGTACAGCTGGGTCACTGCTGGCCTGAGTTGTGTTGTGGGCCAGGGATGAAGTATGAGGGATTTTGGGTGGATTCCTCAGCTCTGGTGCCTGAGGAGAGCTTGAGCTTTGCACGGGCGGTCGCCCCATGTCCTGCGTTTGGCCTGGTTGTGGTGTCCCTGAGACGTCACCCATGGTGGAGCAGGTGGTGCTGTGGCGTCCATGAGTCCAGTCTGGCCCAGGTCTGCAGCGGGAAGAGGGACTGTAAAAAAGATGCTGTTTAATTTAGACTTGAGGAACGAGTCATAGATGAGAGACTATTGAGAGATGCTGGAAATAAATAAAGCCCTTCTAGTTTACTGCCTCTGAATATAACCAGTATCTTTATAGTTGGTACTTAAAGATGGATCAAGTGAAATCTTAATGTATAGAAGATGTTTGACCGGGGGAATTCCTTGTTACTGAAGTCAGGCAGGGTTTGGGAAGACTGTCTGTATACGTGGGTACCAAGGACATTTTTGCAAAAGATGGTCCCTTCTTCAGGGAATTCACAGTGAACATTCAGAGGTCCAGAAAGGAGAAAAGGCTGAGCACGGACTGTCATTTGATTGGCTTCACGTGCTGGCACTGTCCTTTCTGGTGCTAGCGTGGTGGATGCCAGCTAGTGGCTGCCACAGCTGCTGTGCTGAAGCAGGAGGGGAATGGAGGAGAGGCCAGTTGTGTCAGCTGAGATCTGCCCTGGCTTGGGGAGCCCAAGGTGCTGGTGGTCATCTGGGCATGGTGGGATCGTGGGTCAGTCTGGGAGCGTGGATCTAACATGGGAAAATGCACAGATTGTCCAGTCTGCAGGAGTGGGGAGAGCTTGCTCTTTCTATGTGCAGTTGGACCAGCTTGGAGGTGGAACTGTGGTCTCTGGTGCCAGTGCTCCAAGAGCCTGCATCCCTTGGCAGTGTCTGAGGAGTGAGGGCTGTGTCTCCCCTTGCTGTGCAGGGAAAGAGTCCAAGGACCACGAGAAGGAAAATGTGAGGCGAATAAAGGAGATTCAGAAGAGGTGCAAAGAGAAGGAGCGAACCCAACAGCACAGCCAACCCAAGCCTGTGAAAGCTCTGTGGAAATCACAGAAATACGAAAATGTGGAGTCAAAGGTGAAAGCCAAACTGCAGGTCAGTGCCCACTGGGCTCTTGAACTCTCCTGTCCTGGGGTGCAGTTCAGCCATGAAGCTCTGTGGGATGGGGGAGTCCCAGAACCTGTGGGTCTGGGGGCAGTTTGGTGCTGGAGTGCAGTGGGCAGATGTGGCAGCGGGGCTGTGTGGCTTGGGTCTGGAGAGCGATTGCCGTAGTAATCCCCATCCTGTCTGGCCTTGTAGACCTCCTGTGCAGGGGGAGCTGAGAAGAGGAAAATCTCATCACACCCTCTGCCTGGAGGCTCCTACTTGGCCCTTTGGTTGTTAGGGATCTCAAGGATGGTTCCTGGGAGATGCAGAGAAGCCCTCACAGCCGTATTCTCTGTCTAGAGGTGCATCCAGCTGGCTTTGCAGCTTCTCAGTGTTTGGGGCAACACCAGCCTGGGTTTGTGCCAAACGGCTGTGGAATTCTGCCCCGTGGATTATGGTCCTCAGAGGTAGGTCTTCAGGCTGTGTCAAACCTTGGTCCAACTCTTACCACCCTGTGGACCCACAGTGGACCATATATCTCCAGTTTCTTCTCTGAGTGATTGTCCTGGTGAATAACCATGGTGCAGTGGGACACACAGACATCTCCGGGCAATCAGGGCAGAGGCCTCATAGCTCCAGCAAAACGTGAACATCTGTACGTACCTCCTGTCCTCTGTACATGTCCTTGTCTTCTCAGGCTTTTTCAACTGCCGAAACGTCCATGGCTTCTCTTCCAAGTGGACGTCTGTCTTTGTGAAGGTTTTGGTTTGCTTTTGGCTTCTATTTTCTTTCTCTGGATAATTTTTTCTCCTCTGGTGGGTTACTCATGTTTAAATAGTGCCTCTGTTGGAGGCAAAATGCATCAAAGTGGCTGCCTTGATCAAAGTGTACCTGTTTATGCTCTGCACAAAAGAAAAGTTAAGGCCCACTGGAAGAGGGAAGGAGAGCTCCATCACTGTCTTTGGGTGGATCTGTTATCCTCAGTCTGGATCTGGGAGACCTTTGTCATCCAGGTGACCTCTTGGTTGGGTTGGCCTCTTCCTTCATCCAGAAGTAGGCACTGTGGCTCCTATGGATGGGGTGGGTTCCTTCTGCATGGCAGCACCCTCATCATAGTGACGTCCTGGAGGAGAGGCCTTGGGGCTTCCTTCCAGTTCCGCCTCGCATGGGAGAAGCTCCCTGAAGAACGAAAAGTGTGGGGCAACTGCCCTGGCTGGAAAGCCACTGGCTCACTGGAGCAGCCTCGCACTGTTGGATCCTGCATTCCCATCAGGCTCAGGAGTGTCGGCTGCCAGGAGAGGACTTTGTCCTTCTGTGAGTCTCTGGTAATCTTCACAGTCTCCGTCTCTGTTGTGTCTTTGCAGTCAGCCAGGCTGTGTGAACAGGAGTGACGTGGGGAGCTGATGCTTGTGCAGACAGCGGGACCAAGCGGGGTGGCACCTCGAGCACGGCCGCTGACACAAGCGTTCCCTTCGTGCTCTCATGCTGAGCTGGAGCCCCATGTTCCTCCTCATCTCTGCATTCCTTCTCTCTGGTCTGTGGCACTTGAGCCAACTTTTGACACTAAAATTATGTGTATTGATAACACCTGCTAAAAATTGGTAAGATGATTTCCAAGTCAATGGTTCCAAATGCTGTCTCTCTTCTTCCCGGTGTGTGCCACCAACCTCTCTGACGTCCATGACCCTTCCACACACGGGAGCAAACCCACGTGTGCTTTAGGATCACAAGCCCACGCTCTTGTTTGACAAATCCTCTGGCTTAGAGGAAAATTGAAATAATTCCTTCTTTTGTTCTGGGGAAAGGGGGTGGTCTCTGCGCAGGCAGTTTCTGCGTGGTGCGTTACTTGTGCTCTGCAGGTTCCTCCAGAGAGAGGTGGCAGGAGGCCCTGGTGCTGACTCACCTTGCTTTAACTGTTGCTGCGGCTCTCACAGAGTCAGGGTGTTCCCAGTGAAGGATCTCCATCTTCTGTGAAGCTGCTGCTCAGAGTAAACTGAGGTTTAACTGAGGTAAACTGAGGCAGGTTGATTCTGGTAGGTCTTGGTGTCTAACATGGAGTTTCTTTTCTCTCATCTGTCTTCGAGGCTGTTCACTGCAGCAGCTGCCTTGAAAAGGGCTCTGACAGTCTCAGTGCTCCTGTAAAAGGGAGATGGGGCAAGTTTCTAAGATCACAGACTTACTTGACTTCTAACTGCCCACACGAGGTAAAGGCATTTCTCATTAACTTACCAGGGAGATCTGAGTCTCCTGGCTCTTGTTGAAAAAAGGCTGATCATCTTTGGAGTATGGTCAATCTGGGCAGTGCTGAGGGCATCGTGTAGCCTGGTCCTTACACCAAAATTACTGATGTTGCTGCCCTATCCCACCTTCAGTCTTCAGGCCTGCCAAGCTCAACGGGCCAGGACACAAGGAATCTGCCTCAAGAGTGCTGCAGTTCAGCTGAGAGAGCAGCTGAGACCTTGGGTACCTGCAAGGCTCTGGAGGCTGTTGCTTCCAGGGGCAGAGCAGTGCCCTGGTTGCATTTACTGTGAGGTCACCCACTTGCCACAGTGTCCTTCCACCTTTCAGGGTTCCCTGCCCCAGGCAGCCTTGCTGCAGATGGCCTGTTGGACATCAGGCAGCGTAGCCTTGTCCCAGTGCTAGTCATGGCCTTTGAAGATGCCTCGCAGATGAAATTCCACCCTCCCAAATCTACCAGACTCCTTCTGCTCCTCTTTCTGTCTAGAACAGGATAACCACAGATTTGGGGTGCTGAGCAGAGCAGTGCTTGAGAAGCGCATCTAATTTGTGTCCGCTTCATGCCTACCTGTGCCATTTCATTCACACAGGAGCTCTGCAGCGTGCTCCGGATTTGTGGAGGTGGGCTGGCTGCTTCTGGGACTTCAGGTTCTCTGGTGTTGCCAACAAGGGAGACTGGTGTGTGTCTCTCAACTTTCAGCACGCTTACTCTACGCTGCCATTTGCCCTCTTCATAGAATCATAGAATCATCTAGGTTGGAAGAGACCCTTGGGATCATCGAGTCCAACCATCTATCCTACTCTACAAAGTCCTCCCCTACACCATGTCCCTTAGCACTGCATCTAAATGGCCCTTAAATGCAGCCAGGGATGGTGACTCCACCACCTCCCCGGGCAGAAGATTTCTGCTTTTTAAGGGGTCATGATCATTGTTAGTTTGGACTGTCCATCCATTTAAATTGTCCCTAGGTCTGGTCAGTATCTCTGCTGGGTTATCTGGTGTTGCTCTTCTTTCATGCCTGCCAGATCAGTCAGTGAAGAGGGACTCTCCAGTCAATGCTACACAGGCATTTGATCCCCATGTGTTTCTGCAGATTTCCCCACCCCTCACCCCCCCCCGGCTTTTTATTTTTCAAGCCTTTCTTTTCAAAGTTCAGCTGCTGGGTCTGGATTTGTTGCTGGAGGCTGTCTGTTTGGCCTTTGCTGGCTGTGTGCACATTGCCTTCCCTGAGGAACTTCTGCCAAGCCATGGCAGAAAGAGCATACTGTCATCTGCCTCCTGGAAACTTGTGGTTGACCACCCAAACTTTGTTGGGTGGGTTTCTCTTTGCTCCACCCTCCCTCTGCTAGTGGATCTTTTCTTGCTTTTCCCAGGAGAGCTCCCCACCTCCTAAACCAGAGGCTCTGAAATTCCTGAGGGCATATTCTCGCTGTGGCCCTGGGATCAAGCCGTGCAGATCGCTCTCCCCAAGGCCTGCCAGAATGAAAGCAGGGGCAGACACAGAGGCTCCAGAGGCATCGGGTGATGAAAGCAAGGTGAGTTGCACACTATCTGCATGCTCCCAGGGGTTTCTGGCATTCATCCGTCTTAGGCGTTTCTGGCACTCATCCATTGCTCCTGCTTTGAACTCTTCACATGTTCTTCTAAAGCATTGGTCAGATGTGCTACATGAACAAGGAGGTCTGTAAATACTGTTCCTGGAAGGAACAGGGCCTTGGTCACTGGGGTGGCGAGATGGGTGTTCAAGGATTACTACTGCTGCCCTTTGGCTTCATCCTTTCTCATAGTGGAAGAGATCGTGAAGTTCGCTTAGGAAATCCCACCTCCTCGCTGTAGAAGTGCCAGTGATCTCCAATCTGCTCTTCCTAGGGCTTTGCAGGAGATGTTGGGGATTTGGAGACTGCTCCCACCTTAATCAAAGGAACTGTGGCTTCTGGGCATTAGATAAAAATTTGGGAAATTGGTGTGCTTTTGAGTAAGGAGAGTTAAATCTGTATTAGCAATTAAACCTTTCAGGTAGTCTTGTCTGAAAGGTCCTAAACTGCTCCATGTCTTCTTTCCTTGGCACACATGGGGTTTTCAGTTTGTTGGTTCCCAAATGCCATGGAGCAACTTAATTTAAACAGGACATAAACTCTTAAGGAGAAAAACCACGAAAAGAAAACTTTGAACTCAAACCCAGCAACCTTCTTTCCTGTCTTGACCACCAGAGCGGCTGTGATAGAGGGTGCTGTCTCTGGGGAACTGCACCCAAGGACCAGCCAAGTTCCTGCTCTGGCAAGGGCTCTGTTGTGTGTATTGGTCTGGTGAGGGCTTGACCAGACCTTCTACCTGCTCTGATGGGCTCGAAACACAGCAGGAGGAGCCATGAGAACTGTCACGCTTGGTTCTTCCTGTCCCTACTGGCTTTGAGGGCATGGGGTCAGCTTGAGGACCTCAAAAAGATGGGGTTGAGGTTTTGGCTGGCTTTTGGTGCCAGGCAAACCATGGCACGCCAGGGAGTTCTGGCACCTATTCTGGCACTGGTTTCTTCTCAAAACATGGCCACAGCTCTGCCTGTCTCTCTGACTCCTGAGGTGGGGTGTGCTGGGGGTCTGCCCGTCCAATTGTCAAACACCTGCAATTCTCTCCCTTCTGTGGGTGCCTCTTCACTTTGTCCCTTATGGGGTCAAGGGCAGCTGCCCACGTGCGTGTGCCGGGCCGGCCCCTACTGCCTCCCTCTCTCTCTCCCAGATGCAGGTGGAGGGCAAGAGCATTGACTTCGTTAAGCACAACGCCCGCCATGCCAAGCGGGCCTCGCTGCGGCGCTCCCAGTCCCTGCAGGCGCTGTCTGAGCTGCTGGAGCAGAAGCAGCGGGAGCAGGAGGAGTACAATGCCAAGCAGAAGGGACACGTCCCCCAGTAGTACGTATGCCCCTGTCTGATCCACAGGACTCTCTGTGACAAGCCTGCTTCCCTTCACTACGGCCCCCAGCTTCTGCGTAGAAAGATGGGGACAGAGGCACCGTAACCATGCACAAGCAGTGGGATTTAGTGTGGCCTGGGGAATAAACGCAGTCCCTCCTGGTTTCCTGACTTAAGGAGAATCCCGTAGCCAGTGTGAGCGGGTTCACAGAATCACAGAATCTTCTAGGTTGGAAGGGACCTTAAAGATCATCTTGTCCAACCATCAACCTAACTTTGACAAAAATAGACACCCGCACAACAAACAAAAGGCAACACCATCACTAAACCATACCTCCCAGCACTACATCAACCCGTCTTTTGAACACCTCCAGGGATGGGGCCTCCACCACCTCCCTGGGCAGCCCATTCCAATGGCTGATAACCCTTTCGGTGAAAAAATTTTTCCTAATATCCAGCCTGAACCTCCCCTGGTGTAACTTGAGGCCATTTCCTCTCGTCCTGTCACCTGTGACTTGGGAGAAGAGACCGACCCCCCCTGGCTACACCCTCCTTTCAGGTAGTTGTAGAGAGTGATAAGGTCTCCCCTCAGCCTCCTTTTCTCCAGGCTGAATAACCCCAGCTCCCTCAGCCTCTCCTCATAAGACTTGTGCTCCAGACCCCTCACCATCTTTGTTGCCCTTCTCGGGTTCAGAAGGAATTTTATTTCCTCCTCCTTGGTTACTGTTGTACAATGATGCCGAGATGGGGATGGTCTGTGTGTGCCGAGAAGTGTGCTCCTGCCGCTTCGTACGCCTCGCTCCACATGGTGTAGCTTCAGTATGAAAAGGTCTGTCTTCTGAGAGGCAGATAGCTCATTCTACCTCGCAAGTGTTCCTCCTGCCTTTGACCTGGAGCCTGAAGAACATCCAGTTAGTGATTTGTGTTTTCCAAGTGGAAAACGGTTCCTGGGTGACCCTGTGCTAGGACTGACCGTGGTGTCAGTCCTGTGGCTCTCTGCTGTGCCTGCTGTTCTCTGCCAGCATCCCTGGGCTGTCAGCCGCTTCCTCCAGCTTCATTCCATCATTGGCTCAGAAGCGGTTTTGAGAGGACTCAATGGCCTGGGCCAGAAGCAAGGAGCAGAAGCCCTTGTCTCCATGGTGCTCGTGTCGGCCTCTCTGTGTCTTCTAGCTGCCCTTCATTGTGCTTGGAGCATGTTTGCTAGCCCATGCCTGCAGGCTAAACCCAGGTGCATTCCTCCGAGGTGAGGGGCTGTGCTGGCAGGGTGGGCTTGTGGTCCTCAGGCAGCGACGTGGAGACTAGTGGGGTCTGAAGGGCTCGATTCCTGGCCTCTGCCCCCATCCCTGTGCCACCCCTCCTGACAGATGTGCTGACACATCCTGTCATTTGCCTTTCCAGCCTGCTGGAGAGGAAGGAGCTGTGGCATAGACAGATGGAGGAGCGACTGCGAAACCTGCCAGATCCTGACACGCCACCTGGTCACACCATGATGCCAGAGAGCCAGCGGCTGGAGACCCTCGGCAATCTGAAACAGAGTAAGAGGAAAAGTAATAAGGAATCCAGCTCAGAAAACCAGGCCAGGATTAGGGAGAGGGCAGTTTTGGGGCACTGGGAGGGTTGCCTGGAACGAGGCAGGTAGCTGGGATGTTGCAGCACTTGAGCTGCGTGTGTGGAAAGAGCAATCTCCTTGAGGTTGGTTGAGCAGGTTACAGGACTGGCTCTCTGGAGCAGGCTTGTCCAGTGGACCTGATGTTAGGGCTACCATTGCTCTTAAAAGTGATAGAAGGGTTTTGCTTAGAAGGGACCTTCAGAGGTCTGTATTCCAACCCTTGGTTCTTCAAAGCTGGAGCAGGTCACTCAGGTCCTCATCCCACTGAGCTTTGAATAGAAGGATGGGTATTGAAGTCCTTGTTCCAGTGCTGACACCGTTTTCATGACTGAGGATGAAGTCGTAGCATTAGGAAAAGGACGGATTTCTTTGCTCTTCCGCTTATACAACTTGTTTGGTTTTTTTGGATTGTTTTTTTTTTTTTTTCACAGGCCAAGAGCAGCTGATAAAGGACCTGGTGATGCTGCCGGTGCGCACAGACACCCTCAGCATGCAGAAGAGGCAGATAGAGCTGGAGAGGAAGCTCTCCCAGATAGAAGAGGCCATCAAAATTTTCTCAAGGCCCAAGGTCTTCATCAAGCTGGACTCCTGAGCCAGTGGGGCTGGGTGTGTTGTACTTCTCTGCCTGAACATCCTTCATTGCTGGGAAGGGACGATGATCACTGTGGGAGGGAAGGAGAGGAAGGCAAGTTCAGGACCCTGGGCCCATGCAAGTGCTGATACAGCGTCCAACGTGCAAGCGGGATCTCTTGCTCACCCTCCAGTGCTGGGTCTGCTCCAGGGAAAATTGTGGGAGATGCCCTAATTCAGTCTCTGCTGCGTGGTATAGAGAACCTGAGTTCACAAAGATCAGCTCTCTGCTCTGGATCCATGGCATCACCTCTAATTTTCCCATTTTTTCCCACTTCTGCAAACTGGTAGGAGGTCTCTAGAGCTCTCTATGGTGCTCCTTGTCCTCCTTTTTCTCCTGAGCTGGACCATGGTCATGGCTCATTCTGAGCACCGGCAGACCTGGCTGCACAGAAACCTCGTGCTGTACATCTGCTGTGTGTGCCCCAGTCCTGAGCACTGAACCTGAGCACTGAACCAGTGCCTCTGCACCCTTCGACCTGCTGGCTGGGCTCAGCAGCTTGGGGACAGGTTGGGGACAACAAAGAGGCACAGAGCTTCAGTCCCTCCCACCCGGGGAAGAGCTGGGCTGGTCACAGGGATGACAGGTGGCAGGATGTCCGGAGAAGCCTTTGTTGTCTGTGGGACAGGACATGCTCCAGTAAAGCATTGTTTCCCTCTTTCAGTGTGTTGCAGCTCCTGGTAGGCTCAGCGGGGCCTGAAGAGTGGTGGTAGGGCAGAAACCAGAAGCCTTGATGTAGTGTGGGCAGGGGGAGAGCCGTGGCTCCTGGTCCCACTATCTGCAGAAGCCCAAAGTGGCCAGAAAGGTTTGGTTTTACAGCACTGGGGTGCTGGGACACGGTGGTGGACTTGGAGTGGAGAACACACACAGAAGTCCTGCCAGATCTTGGTCCGCAGGCAGGCAGGACATGGCTTGGTGCCATCATGGAGGTCAGCTCGCTACCTCCTTAGCTTCACATGCTGCACAAGGACCTGTGCAGGCCTTTGCAAGGATCCCACTGCGTGAAGCCTGGGAAGATTTAGGCTAGAAAGGATCACTGGAGGCCTTGGTCCATCTCCTGCTCAGTGCAGGGCCAGCTCCGCAACTTGGAGCCTTGCCCAGCTGAGCTGGGAGAATGTGTGAGGGTGGGTTGCCACTGCCATGTCACTGGGGCTCTGTCCCCAGGCTGTGCCACCCTCAGGGGGAACGATTTTTTTCCCCTTGAAGTCCCATCAAAACTTCCCTTGCTGCAGCGTGTGCCCATTTCCCCATCTCCTTTCACCGCGCAGGGAGGGGATGCTGCGCACAGTTGCCCCAAGCAGGTGCCTTGTTGCATGGGGTTACTCCATCTCGGGCAGGATTCTGTGGGGTGAGGATGAGGATGGGGATGATTAGGAGAGGGTTCTTCACTGTGAGGGTGGTGGAACAGGGGGGGAACAGGTTGCCCAGGGAGGTGGTTGAGGCCCTTTCCCTGGAGATATTCAAGGAGAGGCTCGACGAGGCCCTGGGCAGCATGGTCTAGTTGGGGGTGTCCCTGCTGACTGCGGGGAGGTCGGACTAGATGACCTTTGGAGGTCCCTTCTGGCCTGGGCAATTCTATGATTCTATGATTCTATTGCTCAGAGCGGTCCAGCCCTGCCCACAGCACCCTGCGGCACCCGGAGTGCTGCGGTGCCCCGCAGCAGTGCGGTGCGGGATGTTAGAGGCCAATGCTGCTGCCAAGGGCTGGGGAAGCTTTTTGCACTTGGAAAATCACCCCACGCTCCCCTGGGGCCAGCCTGGGGACAAGCAGGCTGAGCTGGCTGGATGAGGGCGGCTGGGGGCCGCAGGCAGCAGCCCCTGAGCACCTCCCTGCCCTAAACAAGTCTGGACTAACCGCCCTGCCATCTGCTTTGCTCCCTTGTCCCTCTGGGCCCCGGCTGCGTGCCATGAGTGTCACCCGGCCCCAGCCCTCGCTGCTCTCTTGGCCTGCCCTTGGACGGACGCTTGGTGCTGTCCCTTCAGACCCAGAGAGCTGCAGGTCCTTCTCCTCTTCCTCCTCCTCATGTCCCTGAGAGCAGCACTGGCGAGAGGACCCTGTTTGTAGGGCCCTTGGCACAGGGGCTGGCAGTGCTGGCACACTCAGGCCCTTGGCGCGGCTCCCAGCAAGGTTTTGGCTACACCAGCACGGGTGCCTCAGGATGGGGAGCTACCATCAGCGAAGGCAGCAGGACACAGTCCCCCCCTTCCCTGTGGAGGTGAGGGCTCTGCCCGTCACCCGGCAGGAGCCAGGCCAGGGCTCCCCACACCATCTGCGCTAGCTGCCCCGGGGTTTGACCCCATGGCCAGGGGACAGCCCTTGTGGCCATGAAGCGCATGGCCACAGTGGTGGCCATCCATCACTGCAGCGGTGACCTTGCTCTCCCTGAGTGCTCGTCTCCAGCTCGAGCCAAGGGGCTGGAAGAGTGCTGCCCTCAGGAGCACCTGGTCTGCTGGGCCTTCTGCGCCAGCAAACGGGCCAGTGGCCACAATGGGTTGGGGCAGAGGTGGTGGGGCTGGTGCCGAAGGTCGGTGCTGCAGGAGGTGGGGAAGGACCACAAACCCAGCCAGCCACCATCCGGCCAGGCCCATTGACAGCCAGGGTGGGAGAAGGAGAAGCTGTCACTGCTGTCACTGCTGTCACGCAGGGGTGAGCCAGCACCGCCCCACTGGGGTGTTGTTGCTCCCTCCCTCCCTGCGGGCAGGAAGGTGCTGATGTGGGGCTGGACCAGGCCAGCAGCAAAGCAAAGGGCAAAGCCACCGTCAGCCCGGTGCTTTGGTGCTGAGGGACTGAGGGCACGGGGAGCCCCAGGAGAGCAGGAGAGGTGAGTACAGCCCCCGCTGAGCTCAGGGCTGGAGGAGGAGGATGGAGCTGTGCCACCCCCAGCAGCGGTTACTGGGGCTGTCACAGCCAAGGTGCTGCTGCCAGCCTGGGGGCCACCCAGCTCCCTGTCACTGGGGTGTCCCCTGGGTAATGAGGGCACCACAGAGGGGACAAGGTGTATGTGGGGCCATTGCATCAAGCCACTGTGCCAAAATAGCCTGAACGTGTACCGTGGGACAGGGATGCAGAGGGGGAGGGACGTGCCAGTGTCCCCCAAACCCTCTGTTCCTCCCTGCGATGGGTCTCAGCGGCGCAGCCCTGACGTGTGCCCCCGGGGAGTTCAGCTCCTGGGCACTGCCCTGCGCAGTGTGCTCCCTTCTCCCAGGGGATCTACAGAGCTGGTCGTGGAGCTGGTGCTGGCCCACAACAGGGTGGGCTGTGGCACATGGGACGGTGTGATGGGGCTGGTGAGGGATGTGCCCGTCCTCTCCCATGGCTCTGGGACTGTTTGCTGTCCTGGGGGGGGGGGAAGTGTTCCCCACGGCTGTTTGGGGTCCAGCCCCCACGGTGACACAAACCAGGGACAAGGGGGGATGCTTTCTAGAAAAGGTTTTACTGTCCATTGCAATATATTAATTGATGATGCATATCTTGATAAAACAATTTAAAAAACCCACTTGTTTGGAGGGAGGGGGGTGGGAAGCAATGGGGCTGGGAGGGGCAGTGCCTGGCGGGAGCGGGGGGCCACAGCAGGGCTCCCGGGGACACGGGTGGCGGGAGAGGGCGGTGAGCAGCCCCATCATCGCCCCGGTGCCCACAGGGCCCCACAGCTATAGGGTGAGGAGAGTGCCATCCTCCCGCCCGCTGCCCCGGCCAGGGCTGCCGTCGTGGCTGCCGAGGGACTGCAGGGAGCCCCGCGAGCTGTGTGGGGACAGGCTCCGCTGGAGGGGTCCATCGGCAGGGCCCCCGTTGGGGCAGCCCCCAGGGATGTAGTGGGGCGCGCTGTCGCTCTCGATGACCAGGTCGCCCTCCTCGTCGCTCTCAGCCGTGCTGTAGTTGCTCAGGTACTGTGAGGCCGGGCTGGGGGTCTGCTGGCTGGGGGTGCTGTCCGTGGACATGCCTGAGCTGCCCGAGGCCTTGCTGCTGCGGATGACGTTGTTGCGCTGGTTGGCTGGCTTGACGGTGATGATGAGGTTGTGACTGTTGGCCACCATCATGTCCGTCACCTGGTCCAGGGACTTGCCGGCCACATCAATGCCGTTGACCTCCAGGATCTCGTCGCTCACCGCGAGCAGCCCCGTGCTCTCGGCCAAGCCGCCCTTCACCAGGCGGGAGATGAATATGCCGGGCACCTTCTCGACACCTTGCGGGGCCACACGCACACTGACGCCATCGCGGATGTAGAAACCCAGGGGCTTGTCGGAGCCGTGCTTATGGAGCCGCACGCGGCGGTGGGTCTCAGGCAGGATGTCCACATCAATGATGGAGGAGATCTGGCGGAAGTCCTGGGGCATGCCGATGAGGAGGTGAGGCTTGGCCCGGTAGTGCGCGGGGCGCAGCAGCCCCTTCTTCTTCCGCTGCAAGGAGTTCGAGGCAAAGACGCCGGCATCAGACTCTGCTGTAGGCAGCAAGGGAGGACACGGGTCAGGCACTGCAGCCACCCGGGGATGCAGCCACGTGCCCTGGGCTCCAGCTGTGGGGAGCCAGCAGGAGAAGTGTCCTTCCTGCTCATGGATCTCACCGGCTTTTCCTCCCCAGAGCATCACCCCAGCTTTTCCTGCAGCCTGTCTCCGCCGGGCACATCTCCTGGGATTACCCAGCGTACACGAGGCCAGGATTAGTGGGATCCAGGCAGTGATTCAGCCTTAATCACACTTTAAGCCAAACTCTGCAGTTTAACACTAGAGCTGCCATCCCTGACAGCCCAGAACCCATGGCTGTGCCCCAGTTTGGGTCTGGGGAGAGGGACCAACCCCCCTACCGCCAGCACAAGGCGGTGCTGGGGTGGCAGCCTGCTCCCCAGAGAGAGTCCAGCCCTGTGAGACAGCACCAGAGCCCCTTCTCCCCGCTGGAGCCAGACCATCGCTGGCACGGGATGGGGATGGCCACAGCTGTGTCCTGCAGAGCCCTGCCATCCCCAAGGACAGAGACTCCCCACCTCCTGGAGACCCATCCCAGCGCTGCAGCATCCCTGGTGCCGCTGATCATCCCAAACTGTCTTTTGTGCCACGGGCTCTTATTGCACCATCTGGCACCCCCACACAGGGTCTGACTCCATCCTCCTTGACATGGGGCTGCTCCACTGGGCCCAGCTCCGCCACATCCCCTCCTTGATCACATGCACCAGGTGCTGGGGAGCATCCCCTGGACCATCTGTGGTTTCTCCCCATCCCTGTCCACAGGAGAGCCCAGCTCTGGATGCTGCATTGCCAGCGACTTCCCCACGGTGCCCCCCATGAGCATTGGGACCCTGCTCCAGCCACAGGGCTGCTGGGGATGCCCCCAAGCCCAGGGGACCTGGGGTTTCTCCCTAGCCGAGCCAGCCTGCCAGGGCTCCTGAGTTATAAATATCTCCCTGCACACACAGCCTGGCATATTTTTAGCTCGGGGAAGGGTGGCGGAGGCTTTCCCACAGCTATTTCAGCTCCTCTCTGAGGGGTGCGGAGCGGCTAGGCCAGGCAGGTCCAGCACCCCATGGACAAGCCCGTTGGTGGTCCAAGGGATGTCCTGGGCTTTCCCCTCCCCATGGGCCAGCTAAGAAGGGCCAGCACCGCTGTCCCCGGCTGGGCTGTCCCACGGGGATGGCTTCACCCTAAGGGGTGACAGCAGAGAGAGCAACCAA